TATTTGTTAAAGTTTGTGATTCCATTGATATTATTAGTTGTCTGTTTATTTCGTTGATATAACTCCTAAATCTTCACCCATTGGAATTACTCTTATTCCTAGGTATAAATTAGGAAAACAGGAAATAAGTAATTTATGTATGTACTTCTATGTTTTGTGACTCCTAGCTATTTGTGATCCCATTTTTCTTAATCTCATATATATGACCAAGCTTTAACAAAAAAAGAAATGAATTTACTGTAAAAACCTTTTGCAAACAACAATGCCTTAAAAAATACTGTTGAAAGTATAATGCTTTAATATAAAACAAATTAATTTCTTAATGTTGGCAGGGGATTTCCTAAAGTTCATTACTATTGATGGTAGACTGTTTAAACAAATTCATTTTGATCTCTAGCGGATTTCCTAAAATCCAAGACTTACTATTAGGTGTTGTTTTGTCATGGTTTTAATTGCCCTCCCATAAGCTTGCTAGTTGGTAACATCTTTGGGGTTTTATTTGAAGTTCATTGCAAAAATTCTAGTGGGTTACCAAAATTGTTTGCTATAATGGCATATTCTCATGAAGGTTTTAGTTCTGGTGCTATTTTGGTACTCTTTTTGAAGAGATTGCCAAAATTCATTGCCATTTCAAAAGTTTATTGCTATAATGTGTAGAGACGAAAATTGTAATTATTATACCATAGATAGATTGTAATTTAATAAATGATAACAAATGTTTTTCTCAGTGAGCTTATCAACATTCAAATCCTTACCGGTGACATCTCCCAACTCATAACCAAAACCAAGAAGTAGTGAAAAATGTTCAAGAACATAGATTAACAATAGATTTTTACTACCATTCAGTTGCAATTATCTACTACTTTTATACAATATAGAGCTACAACATTTAAGCAAGTAGACCTTGTTCCATTAAACCAAGCCCATTTCATAGTAGTTGTTTAAAGTTAAACCAAAAACCATAAAAATAAATATGTAATAGTTAAAAATAAAATAGCATGGTCAATATGATTAACAAAAAACTTTTTTTTTGTTATTACATGCAATTTGTATTTTTTTACTTAGGGGGATGTTCAAGAATTAGTTCAAAGAGAAATTACCTAAATGCTCCACTAACTGTAGAAGCAATGGGTGCAATACGGCTGAAAAACGCTACTCCAGACCTCCTAGATCATTCATTGATTAGGCATAAATTTCATGGCTGCAACCTACTTTGAAGAAATCAATTAACAGAGATGTTCAAATGAATTTTGTTATTATAGTTTGTTTAAGCATATGATAACAGTTATGAAAAATAAGGGTATTCTGGTCAAAATAATACCAATCAAAAGCCTTACATTCATAAAAATGAGATTAAGGGAGACATTAAATGACATAAACATAACATGAACACAAAATACTTTTAGTGTGATAATTTTCATACTCATCATATTCCTAATCAAGTAAATTTGCATACTCGTCACTGTTCTTATTTTTATAGAAAAATGAAGAATTGATTCAAATCTGTCCAGGGTCTGAGAAGTTTGATTGAAGAAGCTCATCATTTTCAGACTTTTCATCTTCCAATTTATATGAACTACGTAAAAAAGTAAAACATGTACTTCAAATTAGAAACTCATCAACATTGTATACACAAAACAATATAGCTTCTTAACGCTTGTATACCTTCCTAATTGTGTATTAATCCATTTAAGTAACGATCAGAAGTTCTTCATCTTCAATAGAAACAATTTTACTTTTTCATCTTTCCCATTCCAGTTACCACCCACAAATTTAGAAGGTGGGCCCCAAAATAGTGAAGGGTAGTGACTAATAGAGAATTTATCGCATAGATTAGTGTTTATCTGTGCTGCCAAACATGGATAAAAAAGGAATTTGTTGCTAATCCATATAATAATTAAGGGACTTAATGAAAATATTAAGAATGAACAAGTGTAACCTTACCTTATTGGCACAATCTACTCGTGTCATTAATATAATCCCTGGATGAAACATCACTGGCTCCATTGAAAAGCCTAGCTACCTTTTCATATTAGGGCTGTGAAATTAAAGCTAAAAGATTAAGCAATGCATCACAAATATTAAGATTGTGAAGAAAACATATAAGTACCCTATAATTTCTGCAAGCTGGACACCTGCAAAGAGTAATAACATAAACAAATTAGGGTTATAAATGGATAACATTTTTTCAAAACACCCCTGTGGAAGATATAGATTGACTCCAGGGGACAAATTGTTTTCATGAAAGGTATAAATTCAAGAAATTTCTAGGTATAAATAGAGCAAGTGTACTATGGGTATGGAGGAGAAGAAGTGAATCCTTTTGTAACTAAAAAAACAGAATCTTTATAGCCATGAAACTTTAGATATTTCCTTTTAAGGTTTAGACATCCTTCAATTTTCTTTTATGGCATGACTGTTCATCTCTGTTCTTAATTTCTTTTCTAGCAACAACATCCTGGTAGGACCTGAGAGAAAAATCACTGGATGAAACAATTGTCCCATAAATTTGTAACGGTATCCATTTGGAATAACAGAGGTTCTGAATTTTTATATTTATGTTTCAATACAGAAATTGTGAAAAGAAGAGACAGAGTAGAGCATAACTTCACGTAAAGGAAATCAAAAAACTGACAGCAGAAAATTCCTCAAAAAATAAAAAGAATGTAAGTGATAAAACGTACATCCACGTGCAATGGTATACATTTGAGGATTAGATTAAACTTGAAGGCTTGTAAGAAAACGCAATAGAGGGTTAGGGTTGGTAATCAGGAAGAAGAAAGATGAAGAACATTGGGTGGCTAAATGGAGAAAGTGATTTCTAGGGTTTACGGTTTGATCTAACTTAGAGAGAGATGAATAAATTGAAACCTTGGATCATAAAAAAAAAGAAAGGACTGAGGTGATTCAACCAAAGCAGAAAACAAAAGAATATGAGAGCGTTCCGATTTAAACATTACAATGTTTATGAACTAAAAACAAAAAATGAAATAGAAATCAATAAATTGGAAGCGATGTTAAAGTCTCAAGATGGCTTGGATTACCAGTGGACATTTGAAGTGTAGAAATATACAGGGGCAAGGATGATAATGAAGTAATTCAAATGCCATGTTATGGATGAACATGAAGGTATTCTCCGATTGTTTCTTTTGGGAGTTCTAGTTGCTTCAAACAACGACATGGGGGAGGCGAGCCCTAACCTGAAAAGTGAGACATGCAGCAATAGAAGAAGTAGCGGAACCTGTCGATTGCGGAAACAAAAAAGGCGTGGAATCAACTCACAGAAGTCCAACATAACCCTTCTCATCAAAACATACCTGAAAGAGCGAGGCGAGAGAGAGAGAGAGAGAGAGAGAGAGAGAGAAAGAAGAAACAAAAAATCAAAATTTAAGCTTACTTGTACATTCATTTGTTGTCGAAGAAAAAGAGAAGAGAGATAAACCAGATGAAAAGGTGGAGGCGGTGGAGCTTGGTGGTGGTTGATTCAATATTGTAAAGCCTAAATCCAGAGAAAGTTTGTGAGGATTAGGGTTTAGATCAACAGATATGGTGTGATCTTCCTGATTTAATGGGATTATGCTTGATGATCGGTTAAAGATTATATGATTTGCTGATATTATGGGATTGATTGCAATGAGAATTTGAAGAATACACCGAGTTCTACAACATTTGAGCGGAATGACTACATAAGGGCAAAGTAGGAATTTTACATAGATGATATGAGCGGGAAAAGCAAAGACAGAGGGACTAAGGAGGTGTCACGTGTCATTTAATGTACTGTTTTATTAGATATATATATATATATATATATATATATATATATATATATATATATATATATATAGTGAGGGAATCAAATGAAAACACCTAAAAAGTTGAGAACGCGAGAACAATTGTAGACCAATCATTCCATAGGGGCGCAAAAGGAATTTTACAATATAATTAAATATGGATAATTAATTAATTCCTATAATCATGAGATATTGTGTAACTGATTGATATTTTACCCAAATACCATAAATGAATTTAATCTATTTTTAATCAAATAGATTACGAAAAAAAAAACTTTTTACCATGATTAAAAAACGTTTTTTTTTTTTAAAATTTTTTTACCGGTATATCAAAAAGATTGGTTTTACCATGATTAAAAAACGTTTTTTTTAAATTACTTGTATTTCAGAAAGATTGATGAATTAAGCATTTCAACCGAATATTTGTAATCATACAAAAATAAAACATATTTGCAATCATATATGAATCTGTTGTAATCGTAAATGAATAGATGAATTAAGTTATAATGATAAACGAATATAATACAATTTATAGAAAAAATTTACAATAAAACTATAATCATAAATAAATAAAACATATATATATATATATATATATATATATATATTATATATATATATATATATATATATATATATATATATATATATAGACTGTACCTCTATTCATAAATAATAACACAAAAAATTACAATGTAATACATATCTTTTTTTCTATAATCATATATGAATACAACATAAACAAAAATTAGAATAAAAATAATTAACTACTATTATATAATCATAAATGAATAAGTCAAGATCTCCTCCACTTTGTATTGTTTGGTTGTATATTAACACTCCAACATTCTGTTTGTAGAAGCATCTCGATTTCCTCTACACACCCTCAAATAAAAGAAATAAATACAATTAACAATCAACATTCCGTTTCTTCAAAAATTGTCTATTTTTGAAATTGGTGCTTTTCTCTTCTGCAGAGCATCCAAAACCTACAACAAATGTTATAATCATCAATGAAATGTTATAATCATTAATGATTGAAACTCAAAGCTTACCTCTTGATCTCTATATCTAAAAAAACATAGTCCTAATCATGAACAATTAAAAGATAAAATGATGATTTTATCTTTTATACTGCTGTTGTGGGAGTGGGAATGGGTTTGAGAACAATTTCAACATTATCATGAACACCTTGAAGAAGTAATTCAC